GTACTATTCTGTCGATGTGGCGGACATTCTGTTGGCCAGCAGAAGACCGCCCATTTAGTTTCCCCGCTTGTTTACAAAAGTGCATGGAGGGGCACACTTGCGAGCTTGAGAGCCCAAATTCATATGATAAAAACATATGCCACTTGTGGGTTCTTTGTACTGCGTTCGAGTATTGTGACGAGATTGACTCCTGCTTCGGGCACGAAATTTATTACGTGGGCCCTGATTTGATCGATTGTATCTCCGTGAAGCATGAAGACTTGTAGAGAGTTCAGATACTTTTTTGGTCAATTCAGCCACTTGTTGTTCGAGGGATGAACTGGAAGGTGCAGCATTAGCAGCACTGACATAAGCTGGAGTAACAAGTTCATTAATTTTGTCAGCCATTGCTGCTAAACGGGTTAGATCTTCATTGGAAGCAGCAAGAATTATTTGTATGTTATTAGGGAGACGCGAAAGCCATAGTGACTTCAACAAGTCGTCACTAAAATGGCTTCCTGCCAGATCACGCATTCGTGACAGCAAGTATGAAGGTCGCTGATCTCCAAGTTCAAGTCCTTGTAGTAAAGTACGTATTTTTGAAGATTCACTTTCTGAATAGATTTCAATGAGCCGCTGTTTCAGTTTGGAGTATTTATCACAATCAGGTGGTTTGAGAATTAAGTCATGCACTGAATTCAGAATATCAGACTCAATTGCTGCAACTACGTGGTTGAATTTTGTAGAATCCTCACTAATGCGAGCGATAGAAAATTGTGCTTCGATCTGAGCGAACCACAATGAAGGATTATTTTTCCAGAAAGGCGGTGGCTTCACCGCAACGCGTGTGATTTGTGGCTCTGGTGGAATATCGTCGGGCATACTGATAGATAATTTTCACTTTAAATAATAAACACTTAACAGCACAAATATTGTAGCATGAAGATACACTATTGATATTTTACCATGATAACAATAAATATTTTAACCATGCAGAAAAAATTTACGTAACGATACACACACAAATAATACAGGGTCAGCAATTACACACACAAATAATATTTTACCGAAATGCATTTGAAAAGAAAATCCTATTTGAGAAAAAAAATGATGCGTTCATTTTGTATTGCGCACACACAAAAATCACCACTTCACACTGCTAAGGCACTTTCGAAGGAAAAAGGAAATCACTCCTGTAGCACATGGGAAAAAAATTCACTACTTTCGAACACTGAGGGAAGAATTTTGCCGTAGCACGTTGCAGAAAAATTACTGATGTAGCACATTTAGCGAAAATCACTATTGTATCACATTTGTCACAAAAGTTGAATGATCGAAGAATTATTGCACGACTGGCGAAGTCAGCGGAACGGAACAGATCACATTGATGATTTGCTGAAGCTCCTTGCGATGATATGCACGACTTTGAAAAAAAACACAAGCAATATATATCAATACTTCTAGAAATAATTGAAGGGGTACGTTGTAGCATACGTTTAATGTCCATATTCGTTGTTATTTTTAGTCAGTTCTTCAGAATGCCTTGGATGCACGTGGCTTAGGGTCGTTGAAAATCCATTGTCAGTAGCGTGCTCAGTCAAAAAGGTCACCACTTTTGGTGGTCGTGTGTGCTTAATGCATGATATAATTAAAGAAAATAAGAGTAGACAATCTCCTATAACAAAAGAATATATTAAGTACTAAATTACAATTTAAATTACATTGCAGAGATCAACACAGAGCTCGGAACACAGTTCGTGCTAGCGTCGCGTACCTTGTCCGACGAGAAGTCTGAGTGAGTAAAGATGTCGCTTTGCTGCTCCGATTAAGAACTGGATTTTACACGTGGCGCCATCTCATGAATAGAAGTTGAAGTATCTGTCGGAACGCCACAGTCCGTGCCTTAAGGCACAAAATGCAAGCATGCAAGGATCCCTTAGAAAGAGAGACACACTCGCTAATTTTTCGAAAGCACAGAGCTGCTTACAAAAGACAGATGCAAAAGCGAAGTTTCATCCTGGAAAGAGTACTGTACCAACACTGCGAATAAGTTCGGAACTGTCTTCCGTGTTGCACATGAGAAGATGTTTACACCTACTAATCTTACTGCCACAATAAGCCACGGAGCAGCAACTAGCACAGAAATAGTTGCGCACATTCTGGACAATATCTTTAGACCTGATAACGCAGACACAGATAATCCCGCACAAAGAAATATCAGAGCCAGTGTTGAGCAATATTACAATACCAAGAAAACATGAGCGACATTGTTAAAGCGTTAAACACCAATAAAGCACCAGGTCCTGATGGGATAGATAATGGCATTCTGCAAGCTATTAAATATAAAATTTTAATAAATAAATAGAGAACCTTAGAGGAAGAATGAGCAGCAGACAAAAATTAAATTAAATTTTTGCTTTTTTCTCTTAGAAGTGTGCATAAATGAAATATTAATTAAGAATAATGTGCGTTGCCTTTTTTGTAGGCGAAGCCTAGTTCGGAGATGGACATTTGAGCTAAAAGCGCCATCTGTGGGCAGAAAAATAACTAAAAACTAGAATAATTATAACTAAAGCAAGCCAGGCTCTTGCTGCAAAATCATAGACTGGTGATCTTCACCTAAAGGCAGTGGTATCAAACACCAATTTTTTCGGCGGGGGCAGAAAGAAAGAGGAAGAGATTGAAGAAGTATCATTTACCAATTTACACAGGAAAAAAGAGAAAAAAAATTTAAAGAAGAAGGCCCCCCCTAATAAGAGGCCACACCTTCATTGATTTAAGAAGATTGTTTAAGAAGGTGTTGGTACCGGAGACGGAAGACGATTTTGCCTCATGAGCTTTGACTGGTCATCGTCACCTGCGGAGATTCATATTACAAGGTAATTTAAGAGGAAAAGGATAAAGGATAAGAATGATTTTGTAGAAAAATTTAAAAATTCCGACGGGGCAGGTATTTTATAAAAGTGGTCTTAAGTAAAGGGAGGGGGAAAAAGGCGTTGCAAGAAAGCTACTAAATTTAAAATGAGGAAAATTTACTAAATAAAGGAAAGCTGTGTAAAGAAGTTACTAAATTTAAGAAATCGCCATAATCTCGAAAAGAAACGTGAAATCGCAGTTACACGAGTCACATGAGACAAACGTGAGAGACGCCACGGCCGAAGGAGACCCGGGTGCTACTTTGGTAGACGGTTGCACGGATTTTTGGCGATTTACGTAGGCGCAATTTTTATAAACGTCAGCCATCTTGAAAAACGCTGTTTTTACGCATAGTAAAGTATTCGAAAATTAAAAAATAAATAAATAAATATCGTTAAAAGTAATGGATTAATTTTTTGTTGAAAATGTCTTTTTTTAAGATGGCAGGCAAGTGTAAATAAATACATTTACTATGAGTATAAAGTACTAAAGTAAGGCTATTACTACTTTCATATAGCAAAAAAGAGAATAAAAACACCGCTATAAAACATTGTGCCAACGTTTAATTAGATTAAAATATTACTGAAATTGAATATCGAATTAAAAACCATCCTACCAACATTTAAAAGAATTAGAATATTATTAAATTCAAATACTTTAAAATACGTTATATAAAATATAATTAACATTAAAACATATGTGACAATAATTATCTCAGCAATTTTTGAAAATAGTGTATTAATTTTTTTAACAAAAATTGAAGTATAAAATTATAAAATAAAAGAAAAATATGTACTTACATTTTTTGAGTAATTTAACCTCTTGTTTATTGATAAGTACCACAAAAAAAAAAAAAAAAAAAAAAAAAAAAAAACCGAAATCATAATTGAATCGGATCTTTTAACCACCTTCATCTGTTATCCAAATATCTCGCACTTCATTGAAGAAGCAATTAGCGAGGTTTCCTACAAAATTTCCTCTGACGCTATTAACAATTTATAAATAAATCTTTGATTAGGAAAGACAGGTTGGCCAAAATAAAGTCTCAAAGGGCAATTTTTTTATTCCAATACCAATAATTCTTGGTAATTACCAATAACAACATTCGTCTTCGAAACGGAGATATCCATTCCATTTGAAATCCGAGGAATTCGAAGAGATGAATAATAAAATTTTAAAATGACGCTGTAATGCACAAATATTCAGCAACCAATCAGGGAGCTGATTACATCACGCATAGAATTAAAATTATTTAAATAATCATTCATAATAAAATCATTTTTAAAACAAATGGAAAATTAAATTTTACTTTAATATTTAACAGCCATCAATAATGTTTAAAACATTAGATTAAATTTATAGATATTAATAAAACCAATTACTTTTTAAGTAAGGTGACGTCATTGATTACATCATCCACAACATAAAATTATATAAATATTATAAAACACACAAATTTTTATTTCAAATAAAAATGTAAAATTAAATTGATTTTTAATATTTAGAAGCCATAAATAATATTTAAAACATGGAAGTTATGCATAATAAAACGCATTATTTTTTTAATAAAATGACAACAAAGTATCGGTTACCATAAATAACTTATCCAGAAATTGGTTTACCATAAGGTGTATTACTCGCCAAAAGGCAAATCGCCAAAAAGTCGCCAAAATCCGTGCAACCGTCTACCAAAGTAGCACCGAGACCCGGCTTTTTATTTGTTTACCCAAGTAAGCTAAACTGTTCTTCTATTGACCTTACCAAAATTCAACTAACTACATTTGATGGGTATTTCCAGAAGTACAGAAACCGAAAAATATTTTGAACTTAATCTTTTCAGTGGTTATATAAGCCAGGGAAAAAACTAAATTAAAAATTAAACTAAATTTTTGAATTACGCTTTATAGCAATTTATAGATTAAAACTTTTGTTAATTTCCATTGGAGAAGAGATATCAGTTGGCTTTTTTTCTCTTTTGGCTGTTCCACACCACGAACTGAATCGAAATTGCTTAGCGGAAGCAGTGCCAAGTTTAAATTGGCCTTGGCGGAAGTTATCGCTGAAAAGCTGTTTGGCTGAAAGACGCAAATCTGGCATATTTCGTCAGTGGTTTTAATGCGACTGTTTTGACGACTGCCGGAGGGTATTGTTGAGTGAATGTTTTGTGGGGTCTTTTTTTTTTGTGTGATGATTAGAAGATAGCAAATGAGTATGTAATTAAACAGAATAAATTTTCTTTTACAATATTAGGATAATGGAACACGCAAGTACTGAAGAGAAATTCCATACTGCAGTAGAGTTGATAAGATGCCTTCCCAAGACAGGTCAGTTAGTTGTATTATGTAGGACAGTATTTTTCTACTTTCGTGATAGAGTGTTTCGATACTTTGATTTTTTCCGGGATGGCAGTAAAGCATTTATCTATTTACGTTTTTGACAGAAATAAAAATTCAATTCCATTTCGAATGTAACATTTATATGCATAGTTGTATTAATATAATTATCAGTTTTCAAATGTAAATACACTTTTGAAAATTGCTTGAATTGTAATTTTTCTTTGAAAAGTAAGAAAATCACATATTGTGAAATTAATTATTAGATGTTTAGTCTTGTGATATTTGTGCAGATTCGTGGATTTGAGTGTTATGTAGTAAACTTAAATAATATTTTTGTAAGATCGGGTATAATTAATAATTATTATACTACCTTTTTTGAAATTTATTTATTAAATAGCAAAGAGTTTCTTTATTATTATTATTATTATCATCTTGTGTGCAGTTTTGTAAGAAAGGAGCATTTTTGATTAGTTTTCTTTCTTATAAAACTAAGAAAGAGAACCAGAGATTTTTGATTTTTTTAAATATGGTGTATGATCATCGAAGGTGTAGAAAAAGTATTTGCTAATATATAATTATTATACTTCAAGTCTTTTGTTCATTTCATTGTACTGTTAAGTTGTAAAGTTCATTGTGAAAATTTTCTTATATAAATAGGAGATAAAAAAGAGCGTTTGTGTGAGACATTTGCTTATGACTCTTTGCTTACTGATGCTGTGACAACTTTATAATAGTAAAACTTAGTTGTCATTTGTGACATTTCCAAATGTTTGATTTGCCAATGCATGAAAGTTGATAAAATTCATAAAAATTTTCATTTTTTCCTTCCTTGTATGAAGTAAAGGAACTATTGTAATTGAAAGAAATTTCAGTTATCAGACTTTAATGCAACTATCCATTTTGACTATTTTTTTGTGTGACATCTGTATATACAGACAGAATAAAGGACTCTTTATTCTAAAACAGATTGTAAAATGGATTTTTGGTGGTACGTTCAGGCACGGCAGGGCTTGTAACAGTACTGTCAAGTCTGTCTTGGTCTGTGTGATTGCTAAATGTAGATGTCATTAAGCTTATTCTTGGGGGGGGGTCTTCATTGGTCAGCTCAGGGGGACTAACGTTGTCTTACAATTCTTAGTTTTTTCAGTGACCAGTTGATGCCTAGTTAGCCTTGTCTTTTGCACAAACCTGATCTAGTTCATTGTCACTGGGGGCTTGTGACCCTGTAGATCGCCTCTAGAGACTTAGCCATCACTCCATGTTAAGGGCTTTTCGAAGGTCAGAAAGTCTCTACTTTCTAGTGTCCTGTAGTCATATGCTTCCAATTACAGAAGTGTTCTAAATGACAAAAATATTAATGTCTTGACAGTGTCAAATAAAAAAAAAATTGTATAAATAACAAAATCTAAGTTTTAATGAAGTCTCCCAATTCTTTCACTTATACATGGAAACATTTTATACTCATTATGAAAAATAAAAATACAAGAAGTTGAACTCTCGTAGGACAAAAGACTGACTGGGATAATTAAATTTGAAAATTTGCGATTTTTGTTATCAATTTCAACTTGTCTTGAGAGTTCTATTAATTAAGTTAGAATAATTCAAGGAAGTCAGGTTAAGTGAAGTGCACCAAAAAGTGTGTAATTTAAAAGGCTATACAGGGAAATCATGTTGTGTCCACATGAGACTTTTTATGCTTGGTATGTTGTAACTAGACATTTTGCCTTCTCCCTCAATACATGCAAGAAATTCAAATCTATGAAATGTTAAAACAACATATAAGGCAATAAATAACAAAATAATAACCTTCTAGAAGTTTGTTTCATTATTCCATTTGCTTTTCTCTAGACAGCACAGTATATATTAAATACAAGATATAATTTTTAGGTCTTGGGTGCATCTTAACTGATTTGTATCTAGGAAAACTGCCCTTATGTCAAATAACAGCAAATGTAAGGGAAATTTGAAGTAAAATTTCAGTATGGATAATTTCATTTTGGAGACTGTATTTGAGAATAAATTGTTAAAATTTCATGGCAGTTGTTCTTTCATCTCTGGGTTTCATGTTCCGAAACTGTAACATAAAAAAAAAAAAAAAAATTGCTCGATTTAGGAAGGCATAGCAAGAAAGGAAGCTTTTGAGGTTTCATTGTAATTTCTTTGCTTTTTTCACAGTTTCACTTCAATCCTTCAGTTTCAGATAGTTTCGGTATAGCATTTTAATTTTGCTTCTGGTTAGTAGTGATGAATCGATATCTATTCAAGTCTAACAAATTCTCTCTCGAAACGTAATGCTTTCCTCTTATAAACTTAATTAATTTATTAATCATTTAACCTGATTTCTTTATACAGTTAAAAGTCGTTAATTCGGACACCCATAATCCGGAATGATCTATAATCCGGACCTCAAAGCTACAAACTTTCTGCGCATGCGTCGCGTTCACGCATGCGCACAGGCGTTTACGAGAGCGCATAAGACACAGCTGCGAAAATGTTTGTGCGCATGCACGTTTAATGTGTAATGGAGTTATACACTAAGCTAAAGTTATCTAATTCAGTTAATGTTCCAGATTGCGTTGTTCCTTAATCTTCGAATTGGATCCGGCTTATTATTTTTTGCAGACTGTTAGAGCAATTTTATAAAAGTAAGCTTGAACTTTGGATTATGTCAAATAGAATTTCCGATATATATTTACTACAAAGCGAAAGTATGTTTTGAAATCCGAAATCTGTTTATCAATTTCACGCTGCTCTGAGGCAGAGGGGGGGCAGAAACGTCATTATTAGATTATGATAGATTAGAAAGATTATGTCAAATAGAATTTCTGATATATATTTATTAATATGTAATTTGTATCTACAAAGCGAAAGTATGTTTTGAAATCCGAAATCTGTTTATCAATTTCACACTGCGGATTGGAAGTTGATCTGTCAGCACTATCCTTATCTTCAGAGCAGATGTTTTTATTTTATTTGGTTTATAATTCCGTACTAAGTGTAGTATTTCATCTCGATATACTCTTTGATATGATTTAAATCAAGTTCCTCGTCATTATAATTCGCTTCCCATAGTGAAGAAAGTGACCCAGAGGTTATTGAAAACGAAAACATTTCCATTGACAAATTAGTCGGTATTCTCAACACAGCAATTATAGGACTTGAACAGCCGAACTTTGTAACTAAACAAGAAATTATGTCTGTTTAATAGAATTAAAGAGAAAGTATTATCACATGAAACGAAGCAACTTACATTGAAGGAAATATTTAATAAAGTAAACAAATAAATATTAAGCTTTTTCTTTTTGTAAATTTTGATACCCTTTAGATCATAATTGTTCTTTATTTCATAAATTACGGTTTCATATTTTTAATTTTGTAATTTCTGCATGCCATCTTACCAGATTTAAACTGATGATCTATAATCCGGAAAAATCGATAATCCGGAATCGCCGAAGTCCCGATGAGTCCGGATTAACGACTTTTGACTGTAGTATATTTAAGGGTACCCCTTAGATTATTGCTAAATTGTTTCATTTATCACCAAGTTCTTGTTTTATTTATGACTAGCAGAAGTACATGATGGCAGTTAAGTTAGATTGAGAGTAATACAGTCAAAAGTTGTTAATTCGGACACACATAATCCGGAATGATCTATAATCCGGACTTCAAAGCTACAAACTTTCTGCGCATGTGTCAACGCGACGCATGCGCATAAGACCTTTACGGCTGCGAATATGCGTGTGTGCATGTGCATAATACGTTTACGCATGCGCGTTTAATGTATAACGGATGGTATTAGTTAAGTTAAAATTTTCTAATTCAGTTAATGTTGCAGATTGCGTTGTTCCTTAATTTTCGAATTGGATCCGGCTTATTATTTTTTGCAGACTGTTAGAGCAATTTTATAAAAGTAAGCTTGAACTTTCGATTATGTCAAATAGAATTTCCGATATATATTTACTAATATGTAAAGGATCTACAAAGCGAAAGTATGTTTCGAAGTCCATTAAACAAAAAGTGGAATTGCTGCAAAAAATGGATAAAGGCATATCCTTTGTTTCTCTAACCATTCCGAAATCTGTTTATCAATTTCACGCTGCTCTGGGAAGGGGGGGGGGGGGGACGCCGTGGCGCACAATGAATTGGAAGTTGATCTGTCAGCACTATCCTTATCTTCAGGGCAGATGTTTTTATTCTGTTTGGCTTATAATTCCTTACTAAATGTAGTATTTCAGCTCGATCTACTCCGTCTTCGATATGATTTAAATCAAATTCCTCCTCATTATAATTCACTTCCGATAGTGAAGAAAGTGAGACAGAGGTTATTGAAAATGAAAAAATTTCGATTGACAAATTAATCAATATGCTCAACATAGCAATTATAGGACTTGAACAGCGGAACTTTGTAAGTGAACAAGAAATTATGTCTGTTTATAGAATTAAAGAAGAAGTATTATTACATAAAACGAAGCAACTTAAACATTTTACATTGAAAGAAATGTTTAAAGTAAACAAATAAATATTAACCTTTTTTTTGTTAATTTTGATACCCTTTAGATCATAATTGTTCTTTATTTCATAAATTACGGTTTCATATTTTTAATTTTATAATTTCTTCATGCCATCTTACCAGATTTAAACTGATGATCTATAATCTGGAAAAATCGATAATCCGGAATCGCCGAAGTCCCGATGAGTCTGGATTAACGACTTTTGACTGTATATCTAACAATGGAGCGAACAATACCACTGTAATCCGTCTCTAATAACGATGCAAAAAATAAGATTCATAATCATACATTTTTGTGTCTGATGTGATATGGAACCCACATAAAAGATTTCGTTAGAAAAATAAGCGTTAAAAGTTATCCCTTAATAAAATTTTCCGATTTTTGGTGGTACATGGATACCAATTTTGTGCAATTCTTTGACTTGTTATTTTGGCTTAACAAGACAAAGAATTGCACAAACTTGGTATCCATGTACAC